TCAGCCTTCCTTCCCCGTTTGGCATCCAGGAAGAAGTGTTCGACGGAACACTTCTTCCTGGATGCCAAACGGGGAAGGAAGGCTGAGTTCTCTTCGCACATGCACATGCTGTGACCACAGTTACACATTGATCAATGCCTAACCCTAACCTGCTGCTAAACTCTAACATGATGACATTGAAGAGAAAGACACAAACCTGATGRCTGCAGCTGGTTGAGGCTGTAAACTGCTTCTATCTGGATCTTCATGTTTTCATCTTCCTGATCTTTAGCTCTGATAAAATCCTTTGACTTCTCTTCTTCCTCTGTTTTTACCTGCTGTCTCCACATCTTATCATTTACCGAGCTGTTACAGCTCAATATACCTCTGAGTTCAACTCTTCAGAGCAGCAGGCCACGGGACACACCGTTAGCTCGTTAGGTTAGGGTTACTACAAAACAATAAAGTTAGCTGCAGTGATACTAGAAGACTTCCGGTAGCGGCTGCACACTGGCCTTCAAAATAAGAGCTCGGAGTGTCCTGCTTCTCTTCTTCTTCTTGTTCTTCTTCTTGTGCTGTTTGATGGCGATTGACAATAAACTGAAGGTGTGCATTACCGCCACTTACTGGTATGGAGTGTGCAGTGTGGTGTGGAGTGTGTGTGTGAACAGAATATAATAGAGCAACAAATATATCTATTGCTTTTATTGAGACGACGACGCAGGAGATGCTGTCTTCGTCCATTGCATTGGAAGTATTTGATGCTGCTGTCACCTGTCTGGATGTGTTTCATCTCAATCAGCCAGTGGAATTTTACAAACTTCACAATTCCTTTTTAATGTTTTTAAGTATACATGTATTGGAGTAAAAGCACAAGTACTTTACCAAATAATTACTTTGGTAAAAATGTCCTTTTGGAATATTAGTAGAGTTAAAGTGATGATGATGATGATTTATTCCAGACATGTCAAATTCATTACTTAAAGCATCTATAGGTCTTTCACATATTATCCATGTCCAACCCACTGTGCTGCTAGAAATAAGTTCTTCCTCCTTTCCGTCTGATTTTGCAGCAGCTTCATTTGCTCTACTGCGCCATCAAGTGGACAATAAGTGTGAACTAGTTTTTAATGACGTGACTTGTTTATGGAGCTTTAAGATGAATAAAGAACATGTGTTCATGTGTTTGTAATGACCACAAATAAAGTCTCAGTTTGATTTGAATATGATTTTAATCTGTTTTTGTTAGACTAACTGGAAAGTGAAAAATAGGGAAAGAGTATTGTGAATGTGCTTTTGTGATTTTGAGATGGTGCTGATGATACTGGAGACACATTTTCATTAGTTAACTTTTCCATCTTTTTCAAGTTTCTTTTCTTCTTTTTGATGGATGGTGTCTGTTGTAGGCTATCCAAGTTCTTTTGAACACAACAGACACTTCATCTTTTAGAACAGGAGAAATGAGAAAAAAACAAATCAGAACACATGATCCACTGTGTTGAGTTTTTTTTATATTTAGGTGGTTGTTATCAGCAATGTTTTATTACTACTACACGGCATGCATACATTATTATTATTATTATTATTATTATTATTATTAT